TTCAGTTAGATTTTCGCATAAACTTCGGCTGTTAGAACTATTCTTTATTTTATTCCAATTTATTTTTATACAAAAACATTTAACTTAGGCAGAAGTGTTTGGCGGAAATGAGGCGTAGCGATTTTCGTCTTCACAATTGTGCATACTGTACATCATATTAAGGGAATATGTATGGTAAACATCTTTCAAATTTGAATCAAATATACAAGTTTTTAATATGTATGTTTTAAAAAATAAAAGCTTAAGTGAGTTTCATTTGAGTTTTACAAGCATTTAAAATAATAATAATATTTTGTGAGAATATAGGCTTTTGAAAATGTCACTTTATTTTTGAAGAAACCAATATATTTTTCCTCCCTTTCATTCCCTGTCATAGTTAAATAGTCTACATTTAACCCACATTACTTTATAAATATTAAAACACCTTTTCATTTTAGATAAATTGTAAACAAATGCCGGAAAATTTACTATAACATCTTCATTATTAGTTGTATTTTCTCTGCACAAAATCAACATGATTTATGAATGCATAAAATGTCGTGTGAGCCACGCCAATGACAAAAAATGCTATGCAGTAAAATATATTGTTGTATAATTGTCTGCTATATTGCATGATGACGATGATGACAATGTACTCGTACTTTCTTTCTATGCGAAGAAGATGCATTGTAGTGAATTCTCTGCATTGTGATAATATGAAAATAACTTGGCACACATTATTCGTATCGAAAGCCATCCGCATAAGCACATTAAGTCGTCATCATCGTCGTAATAAGTGTGCATCATCACATTAGCGCATTTGCATGTATTATGCCATGGATTACGATCGAACTTAAGTGTCATTTAATTAGATACGATATGGTTTTATAGTACATTAATATTTATAAATATAAATTAGTTATATTTATTATTAAAAAAATTAATATTTATAAAAAATATATATTCAAAAAGTATAAAATATATTCAATAACTATTTTTAGTAATTATTGAAGTATTTAAAACGTCCATGCCTTAGAATACCGAGTCGTTAGCAACGCATTATTTTCATGATGTGCGGCAATGAAAAAAAAAAAAACATAAAGGAAAGTAGTAAAATCGGGCTGGGCCGACTATATGATACCCTTCACCACTTTGTGTATATTCAACATATCGACGCCTCCGAAGAATAGAATGTGATCTTTATCAAGAAAAGATCACATAAATCGATTTATAGCTATTCGGTATGCCTCACTGTTTAAAATTTAATCTCAATCTGGCACCCGTTCGAAATATGTATAGAAGCTTCAACGAAACTTGCCAGAGATTAATTTATATTAACTTCAGTAAATTGTAAAAAAATATGTGCCAATCGAACAAACTTTCGGTCTTAGTGCACAATTAAAAAAAATCGGAAGAAAAGACATATGGGAGCTATATCTATCTATATGCAAATCGAGAAATATATAGAGACTTTGGAGTGTAAATACATATATCGCTGGCTTAACTTGTAAAGGCAACAAGTCCAATTTTCGAGAAATTGAGATTTTGATACAGTTATGTATAAAGAGGCAAAATACATCGATCTAAAAAAAGAAAAATAGAGTTATCTCATTTGTTATTGTTGTCGCTGGCTTAACATCATGTAAAGGCTGTAAGTCCACTTTTTATTTTGAAGATTTTGGACACTATTTTCAGCCGAATTGACTGTAATTTGGTTTAGTAGGTACTTATGGGGTAGCTCACCTTCCAACAAAAACTTATCAATATTGGTCCACTTTTTAGGGTACCGCCCAATCCTCTTATCCTCAATATTCGACCGGCGTAAATAGCGACGTTTTTACTTGTTTTTTCATATTTTTGAATGCATTATTATTCCAAAAGCAATCTTTACTCTTTTAGATAATATTAGCATGTACAAAATCAATATAATGATAGACAAGTTGTAAGAAAAAGACCTAAGTCCATTAAAACATGCAAACTTAGAGACAGAAAAAGCTCTAAGTCCCAAAAAAGGCGTGTATCTCCGCAAATACTTATTTTTTTCATTTTGCCTTTACGCAATTAAATTACACATACAATACAAAAACAAATTGCATCTACAGATTTAAAAAATCTTTACTAGGTAAGCCAGCGATATGGGAGCTATATCTAAATCTGAACCGATTTTCACCAAACTTAACGCACACTATTTTTGACTCAATTCAGAACGATACGCCAAATTTCATGCGAAACGAAAGATATGTAGGGACATTGGTGAACCATTTACATTAAATCGGACGAAAATCTGAACCGATTTCAACGAAACTTTACACACAGTAGGTTATACTAACTTCAGTACATTGTGCATTGAGGAGCTGTGGTGACCATTAACTGAAAATCGGACGAAACTATATATGGGAGCTATATCTAACACTGAATCGATATCAACGAAACGTTACACATAGTCGATTATACAATCTTCAGAAACTTCTGCAAAATTGTGTGCTAATCGGCCATATTTTGGGTCTTTGGTGCACCATTTACTGAAAATTGGATGAAACTATATATGGGAGATATATCTAAATCTGAACCGATTTTTCCCAATTTCAATAGGGTTCGTCCTTGGACGTTCACCCAATTCGGATAATAAATGCGACCTGTACTTTGTTTACAATTTAACATTCACAGACAGACGGACGTACATGCTGAAATCGATTTAAAAAGTGATTCTATGCATATGCTCAAAAGGAACCATGTCCATTTCCTTTAGCCTGTTACAAACATATGCACAAAGACATAATGCCCCGTACCTCAGTGTGAAGGGTATAAAAAGGGGGTTATATGGGGACTAACCCTAAAAGGGGCGAATATTAATATTTGGTAGGCATATTCGACCATATTCGACTACAAAATACCAAATTACAGCAAATTCGGCTGAAAACGCGTTCAAGAAACACAAAATACGAAAAATTAGAGGTTACCCATATATGTGGAGCTACCCGAAAAAATTTGCCTATATTTATAATTTTTTGTGGAGAGATTCGTTACCCAATAAGAACTCAAAGTACTAAAATACAGTCAAAAAAGTCGAAAATTACGCTCAAAACCCCCAAACATACTTAAAATTGGGGGTACCGTTATATCGGGGCTACCAGAAAAAGTTGACCTATATTTATAATTTTTAGTGGAGAAATTTGAAATCTTGAAAACCAAGATTTGTATCAGACCCCAAAATGGACTTAAACACTTTCAAAATATAATATAATAAACCACTTTCTTTGTATTCAAATATTTTCAATCTCATAATAAATAATATTTGCAGTAATATTTTGACCTTAACTACTACCAACAATTTCAAAAACCTTTAAATATATTTTGGATTTGGAAAATAACCGAGTACATTATAATTCAAATTTAATTTGTTCAATATTTTTGCAAATATACATCTACGTTTTTGTCATATCTATTGCTGGTTACTCTCGAAAAACCATAACTCGACAAGCTGATAACATAAGCAATTCTGTAACTTTTTAACAACATTCGATATTGTATATTTTACAACAATTTCATTCTTTGTTTTATTGTTTTTACAATAACAAAAGAAATTTAAACAATATCGAATGTTGTTAAAATTTACAGAATAGGCCGAAAAAAGTAACTCGATAACTTCATACCCTCACTGGATTAAAACACTTCGGTGTCTATGTTTTGAAATTTTATTGATGGTTGACGATGAAAAAGTACAACACCGCTGAACTTATCCCAGATAATTTGTTTCTTCATAGTTTAACTTGATAAAGACGTTTTAAAAAAATGTTCCGCCATTCTTATAATATTTGGGAGACATTATCAATCGTAGATTTCACCAGTTCCAAACATCTAATGGTTCTTATCTGGTCGGAATTTTTCACATCAGACGTTTCAGTAAAAACAATTTCAGCAAAGCAAACAACCACGACAGAGGGGTCTACGATCCGAAACGATCCGAGTCTTACTCGGCCAATGTCTGTCTCATCAGCCTATTGTGTAAAAGCAATAGGGCTGCTACAACAACAACCAATATGTAAAAACATTTATTTTTTTTTTTTTTTAAATCATAAAATAAATTTATCTAAGATATTGAATATCGTACGAATAAAAACCTCCTCTTATATTGAGGTAGGCTCCAAAAAATTAAAACAGACACTTTATGATTGTCTACTAGATCACATGTTACAGCCTCTTTCTCTCAAATAGAGTCTTTGCTAAAAATACTCATTGGGGAAATCCTCCAATGGGAAATACCTAGATGAACACTCACAATTTTTTTTTATGATACCATCGCCCACAAGAAGACTTACGTCAAAGGTTTCTTATCTTTCGAACAACAACATTACGGTATTTTTAATAAAAAACAAACAAAAACAAAATATTAGCATAAACCGCAAACCAGACTCAACTCATTAACTTAACATAGATACCACCAAACAGTTAACAGAGCAGACAACTTCATAACATTCGTTAGGCACTGTTAAACCGAACAGCCGAAGCTAGACTGAGAAACGAACGCACCGATTCAAACCACACGACACAAGATCAATGAATAGCCACAGCGACAAGCACAAGGCGCACATGCGCATTGCGAATTCAAAGCATTTTTGGTGTGTGTGTTTCCCTAGACAGCAAAAAACAACAAAAACGATTTCTTTCAGACGAAATGTTCAAAAATGCAACAACAACAGCAACAACGACCATCGTCATAGCCAAGTTGTGCGAGTAACAAAAAGTTTATATAAATCAGAGTTCGAATGGTAAACAAAACAGTTGCGCGCTAAACGTTCGTTGCTTCAATTCAAAAATCCAAAACCAACAAAAACCGTTAATGGTTTGGGCCACTAGAAGAGGAAAAGAAGTGATAGAAAGAAATATAGAAAAAGAAGACATTCTTTACACACACAAAAAGGAATACTAAAAGGATATATGGATTATTGAGTGCCAAAGGATATTTGGAATATTTTTATTAATTATTATTGAAAGAAAGAAAGTGAAAGTGTGTGTGCAATATGACTTATCTTCTAGTTGGCCTATTGACATTTGTGCTGTGCATTCATTTCGGCAATGCAGCCTACAAATTGCAAGAACGTTTCAATTGGAAACAGCTGGATTTTGCTTTTCCCAATGAGAATTTGAAACAACAGGCGCTGGCAAGTGGTGATTACATTCCACAAAATGCCTTACCCGTGGGCGTTGAACATTGGCAGAATCGTTTATTTGTGACCATACCCCGTTGGAGAGATGGTAAGTTTTTTACGTTTGTGTGTGTGACGCATGTGATGAACAGTTTTAAAAGATTACAAAGGACACGTATGAACATTTTTGAAATTCAAAAATTCAAAAAAATGTGAGCCTAAAGATATTCAAAATTATGCTCCAAATAATGTAATATTAAAAATTAAAACTGTGGATTAAAAAAATTAAAATTAAAAAAATCAAAGCACGGAAATGTACCTTAGTGAATATTTGCAATAAAAATATATTATGGAAAAAATTAATTGAAGAGTTAAAAAACACAAACCTAAATAAAAATAACAAATTGAATAATAGAAATTCAAAAAAAAAAAAAAAAATACCATGTGATTACGAAGAATCTATAGAAAAATAAAACTACCAACATTCAAATTTATACACCTCGAAAACCTAGACGATTGACCTGATCTACTTTGAGGACAAACTTTTTTTGTTAAACATTATTTCAACAGCAACAAACATTTTTGTAAAAAAAAACATAAATAAAGGCATTTTCAGAAATGATTAAAAAATTAATAACTGAAAAAAAAAATATTTCAATACTTATTTTAATGATGAATTAAAAAAACATCAAACCAACAAATTAATATAAAATATAAAGTCCTGAGGGACTACGCCTCATGGCTGATGCGGGTATATACACTAGTAAAGTCGGGCTGGACCGTCTATATGATACCCTTCTCCAATTTGGGTATATTTTACATATGTATCCTAAGAGACGACGTGTTTTGTTATAAATCTATATCTGAACCGATTTCAGGGAAACTTGCCAGAGACTAATTTATATAACATCAGTACGTCGTTGTCAATCGGCCTAGCTATGGATCTTTCACGAAGCTTAGCAACATCATTCTAAACTTAATTCAGTACACCCTATACCAAAATTCGTACAAATCGAAAGATATATACCTTAAATCGGATGAAAATATATATGTTAGCTATGTCTAAATCTGAACCGATTTTAACGAAACTTGGCAGACATCATTCTCGATCTTATTCATAACTCCGTGCCAAATTTCGTGCACATCAAAAGATTTCCAGGGACTTTAGTGGACTATTTACCTAAAATCGGGCGAAGCTATATATGGGAGCTATATCTAAATCTGAACCGATTTTCACGAATCTTTGCATACATCATTCTATACCTAATTTAGTACGCTGTGCCAAATTTCGTGTAATTCGAAAGATATATAGGGACTTTGGTATACAATTAACCTTATGGGAGCTATATCTAAATCTGAACCGATTTTCACGAAACTTGGCAAACATCATTTTAGATCTTATTCATTACGCTGTGCCAAATTTCGTGCAAGTCAAAAGATTTTCAGGGACTTTAGTGGACTATTTACCTAAAATTGTGCGAAGCTATATATGGGAGCTATATCTAAATCTGAAAATCTTCTTTTGAAGTACAGTGAACGTATTTTTTCAAAAATTGTTTGCACCAACACACACGAACTTTTTTCGGGCAATTTTTAAAATGTGCTGGGTTCAATGAAAACAAGCCACTTTTTACAGCCAGGTGTAAATGCAATATTGAGTGTTTGCTAGTGGAAAAAATGCCCAAATTTCGAACTTTTCAATGGAAATTTCTGTTGGACATCCTATAACTTTTTGATACAAATTGTCGATCACCGAAAATGTACACCATTTGACCGTCCGCCCATCCGTCAGTTGAAATCACGATGAGTAATATAATATTTGTTCAATTATTAAGATAGCTCTCATATAATGGTATAGCCCTGAGATCTGCCCACAGAGGTTTCTCTAACTTCTCTTCCCCCTTCATTGGATACTGAAATTTTGCCATGGTCAAAAATTTTCCAAATAATTCAAAATGTTTCAGAGACCTAATTCCGATTTGATGGACTTATATATGGGGAGATTAAGAGATCTCGATTGTTGATCTCACAATTTCTTATAAATAATAAATCGAAAATATTTTACCTTATAAATACGGCGAAAATTTAATATGGAGTTGTTGGGGAGATTTATGGATTTGGGTGTTGTTAAGAAACTATGAACATTTATTCTTGGGCTTTTGTAAACCTAAACGGGTCTGGACCTGTTATTTACTAAAATATGTCGATTTATGTTGTTGTTGTTGGTGGGATAGCCCGACAGTGGTATTTGTGGAGGATGATGGGAATGTTATGGATGTGACCGTGTGTGAGCCAACTGTGTGATCGGGGAAAGGAAATGTTTAATTTTAATAATTTTAATTGGGACCCTCGGGGTTGATTATATTACTGTTGGAATTTGAGTTATGTCTCTCCGACTTTTTGTGAGGGATTTGTTTGTAAACACGTGAGGTGGATGAGGAAATTTTAATTTGAAGGCAGGACTTGCCTAGAACATTTTTGTCATTTTGTCTGGGAAGTCTTCAAAACTGCCTACCTTCAAAAGTGAACTAATATTGATGATTACAGTCAATTTAGTTGAAAAACATGCCAAGGATCTCTAAATCGAATATTTGGGGGTACATATGGGTGCTATACAATAACGTGGACAGATATATTTTTTATACCAAGTGGTAATATCAATGTATGTGCAAAATTCCAAAGCTCTATATTTACTATTGTGAGCTATATCGTCATTTCAATAGACGGAAATGCATAAACCGACATACAATATTACTCTGACCAAGAATATACATTATAGTTCTACGGTGAATATTTCGAGGTTGTGCAAACGGAATGACAAATTTAATATAAACTCCACCTTATCAATATATGTTTGTCCACAGTTTGGTACAACATTTTCAACAGTTTCATAGATCAATTTATACAGAGCCCTCATATGAAGATCGGGCAACATTTTCGGTATGTTCAAGGTCCTAGCCCATCTTTCTTTTGGTATTTAGTTTTCTCCTGGCAGTAGCCTACAAAGCTGTATAGTGGCTATATACACATGCCATTATCGATTTTAAGAATTTTGGATTGTTGCAGAACATTTTTGGCTTTATATTGCTGGCACGTTTATTAGCAAAATTACAACGTCTATTATATCTCTCACATGTATAAAATATTGACACGAGATTTATAATTGTCTAACAAAAATTACATTTATCTTATTTCTGTTACAGTGATTGTTAATAATAATAAATAATTTGCTGCTACCTGTTATATTAGAGTAACCCATCGATGAGTCATCTATGTCAAAATCAACAAACACGAATTTATATAAATATGTAAATTTATTTTGAAAATTAATTCTGTTAGAAACGTCTTAGTTCATTGGCCTATATATGACATGCGTATCTTCTAATCAATGAGATAATTTGGCGAATAATTAGGGATTTTTTTTGTTTCCAAAAAATACACGAAATTTCAAAATTATTGGCATTTGGAGAATGTAAATATTTTATTTACAATTAGACACATTGTTCTGAATCTGAATACAAGAGAATGTAAGGAAATACCTCAATTAGAATGACATTTTTTCAAATGCATTTCATTATGCGGAATGTAATTAAAAATAGTGAGCTTTAATATTAAATTCACCATGAAGGCCACTTCTTGTATTTTTTCCGCTTCATAAAAAAAGTAATAACAAAAACCTATGCAAATTTATTAAGTTGTTCAGTCATTCAACTGATTAATTTAATAATTGACCATATTACGGGATATACAGTATAACCTGAATAGATTGGAGGGTTTATAAAATATTTCATAACTTTCAAACTTTTGAAAAAAGGTGTCAATGCGTTTTTTTTATAGAACTGCACAACATATTCAAACTATAATATATATATATATATATATATATATATTAAATTTTCAAAAATGATTAATAGAACTTCTCACAATTTTACACTTTCAATCTTGTTGGTAATGGGCTGAGATAGTCCATTTTCGAACATCACCTAAGTACACCACGGATCGTATTATGAAGTCGTTTTAATATATAAAAGTATTTTAAAACTAAAATTAAAAAAAATATATATATATATATATATTTTAATTATTTTTTTAAATTTAATTTCAAATTGTTCCCTTAATATTATAACTTTTAATCTGTTCTAGTCAAGCTCCACTGTTAATTAACATTTCACCTATATTATACTATAGTATGACATGATGTATAGCTAGGCTCTTAATAACTTTTTCAAATTACCAGTTTTTTTTATGACAATATATATCTGACTGAATATGACCGACTGGCTGGCCAGTTGAAACAATACAACAACAACAATACTCTAAATAATTATGCAAAATGATTGATTTAAATAAATCTTTCTGAATGGCGTTATTCTGAAATGTGTTAAAACTGATATTTGCTATTTTAAATTGAATGTAAAAAATATTAAATAGAAAAAAGTGAATGTTGATGGATTGGGATTTATGACACAATAAAAATGTTATTATATTATAAATTCTTTTGATACACATTCATAAAAGTAGCAAATGTCAGTTATAAAACCATTTACTGCGAATTTGATTATTTGTACATGTAGACATAAAGATAGCTTACCTTTTATTGGTTAGAGCGTGCTGAAAAAAAAAGAAAAAAATATTTTAATGGATGCAAAATTAAAAAAAAGTCGATTGTATTTAAAAATATTAACAAATGAAGAAAAAAACATGTATGAAAATACATATACGTATGTAAATATATTTAAAATTGTCTACCAATTATATTTTATCCCATTTAGCCTAGAATGTCAAATTACAACTACTTGTCGGTTAGGACCAATTGGGAAAAGCCTTTATATGGGAGCTAAACACGAACCTCTACTGAAAATTACGTATACGAAGTTTCTAATTATAGCCTTACTTCGGCTCAAAAATGAAGCTAGTACCATATAGATTCTTAAAATGGACGTGACCATAAATCGGAGTCCTTTTAGAACACGGTCACCAAGGGTGTCATTAATCATATGAGCAAACAAACTTGAAAATCAGTGCTCCTTAACTTGAAATTTTATTTAGGTTTTTTTACCCTCAGCCTTATGGCTAAGAATAATGTTTTTCCAAAATTCCGATTTGAAC